AAAATTTGAGCTGCAATTTAGTTTCCTTTTTTATAGAATAAATTTCCATTTTTGGTAGGGTTCTGTATATTTCAAAATATAGGATATATTCCTTAAGTAAATTATATTAATAATATATATTAAGAATAATATTTTTCACCTTGCTTAAAAACCTATTTATCACTAACTGTGGAATCTTCAAAAACTTTGAACACAATAATTTTATATAACTTTTTCACTATCTGATAAATTCAAGTTTCCATCATAAATTTTTGAACTTTCACCAGAAATAAGAAGATGCAAATTATTTATTCTTTTAATGGGAACCATTAAATGAAACCATCACAATCAATTGAGTTTCTTCAACAAATAAATCAACTTTATAGATTCCACTCTTAAAATCTAAATCTTCATTGTTGTAATGATTGCCAATTTTATTATCATTGTTAACTTTATTGTGATTTTTTTTTCTATAAAATTTTTACATTTCTTGTATATATACAAAATTATTATTACAAATTTTCTATATTTAGTAATGTATGAACAAGCCAAAATTTTCCCCATCATGCAATAAAAAAATATTATTACTGAATCATCTTTTTATTATTATGGGAATCTTTAGACCTATTTTAAGATTCAGGCATATAGATTCACAAGTAGTAGTTGATTTTAAATAAAACAATTGCAATTTATCCATTTTATCAAAAAACTTTCAAATTGAAATTAATCTTTTAAGCATTTCAAAAAAATGTAACTTTTTGATTTATGCTATTAAACTCGAAACAAATATTTTTTTGGCAGTTGGGCATTTATCTGGATAAAAATCCATTCATCAAATTACAAATTCAATATAAAAACTTGGTGTAATATCTGAAAAAAAAGGGTTAATCTTTCTCCATTATTTTTACTGGAAGTTTAATATCATGTTCTTTAGCATTAAATGGTTGTAGACCTGTTGACATTACAGTCATAACTTCCTATTCTATTTATAATTGATCTTTTCCACATCAACACTCCAAACTATAAATGTCAGATGTTGTTGAATAAATGCCTTCTGTTAATATCTCTGTTGCAATATATGGCAATACCCCCTTTATATTGTTTGGGTTTTCTAAAATAGTATCAACTAAAGCTGACAAGCCAAAATCTGAAGTTATTGCTTCATCATTTTTATTTACCAGGGTGTTATGAGAATGAAGGTTATAATGATAGACACCATTTTCATGAAGTTCTTGTCACTATAAAATATTCATTTGTATTTAACTTCTTTATTTAAATCATAAGTTTCAATAACAATGAGAAATTTTATTTCTAAATTAAAAAAAACGAATTATTAATTAATTTTATAGAATATGTATCATTTTTAATAATATTACCTCCTTTTAAAAAAATATCTAGATTCATTATTTTTTAGCATTACTAGTCTATCTTTGTGACATTTATCCATGTAGCTTTGTATATACACTTATTTGTAACATTTTGAAAGACTTAAAATCATCATAAGGAATCCATCAAAGATAATTGTTGCTCTATATAAGATGTTGCTTTATGTTGTGTGCTTTTAATTATCTTATCAATTTTGTCATTACCATTAATCCAACCTTCTGTTGATAACGTGGATCACACATTTGGCATCATGAATAATTTGTATTACATCTATTACAAGTTGGATATTTACCATGATTTTCTTCCCTTTTATCTAAATATTTATTGCATTTAAAAGGTTTGGGGGCTATGGTCATTTACTTTCATTTTCAAGTTGTGAATTATTACTCTTTTTATTATTATGTTTAGCGGGATGATAAAAATTTAGTGAAATCGGAAGTTTTCTTAATAGTTGCATATACCAAATTTATTTAATATTAGTATTAGAATTGATGACGGACTGTATTTTGTACCTATTATTATTATTAAAGCGGAGGAAACAGTCATTATGAAAATGTTCATAGCTGCAGAAAATCGCTGATCGAAAATTTTGGAGCGAACTCAAACGATTTGTTAACACGTGTCAGATCATCGTCATATATATTATAAATTTATAATTTTTTTTACCAAGTCAAAAATAAAATATAATAAAATATGAATAGAAATCAACCAAATCAACCGCGAGTACAAAATGAAATAATGTTGTGGTATAAAAGTATTCCACCTTGTACAAGATTTTTATTTACAAGTTTTATTTTAATAACTGTGACAGGAAATTTCAGAATAATCAACCCATCCTACTTTGTGTTCTATCCTAGAGAAGTATTTTCACGCTTAGAGGTAAGTAATTTATTTATTGGTAATATGATTACGAGTATATTAATTATTTGCTTCATTTCAAATGATAACAATTATTGTTTTTATTAGATTTGGCGATTATTTACGAGTTTTTTCTTTCAATTGTTTAATTTGAATGGAGCAATACAGTTGTATTTTTTGTATACATATTCAAGAGAAATGGAGACAACAAGATTTGGTGGTAGAACAGCAGATTATGTGTACTTCTTATTGTTTGAAGGTGTATCAATACTCGTATCCTTCTTTATTTTTTTATCTATTATATTATTTCCCTTATTCTGCCTGAATTCTTCTTATAATTACAACAAGTATTCAGTTCGTTCCAAGGGATAAATCAAAAGAAAAATAAATCATCATCAACATTATTTTAATATTATTGATGTTGTTATTGATGGATTTCATTATTAAAAAAAAATTTTTTCATTGATTTTGAAATAATGATCTATTTTTCAATATATATAATATAATATTATTTATTCTTAACCCTTGATTTAACTCTTTTATTATAGGTGTGTGCATGGTTCAAAGAATTAATACTACTAAACCAAAGTTTGGTAATGTCCATAATATATTTATGGTCTCAATATTATAGTGATAGAATTGTGAATTTTATATTTGGATTAAGATTCCAGGTAAATTTATTTATTGTAAATTTATACATACTATTAATAATAATAATAATAATAATAATAATAATAATTACTTAAATGTATATCTACGAATGTTTGTAGGGGAAATATTTTCCATATGTATTGGTAGTATTTGAAGCATTACAGATGGGCGGTGGATTACCATGGGAATCAATAATAGGATTATTTACAGGTCATGCATACCATTACTTGACTGATACTTATCCTGCAAATGGTGGACCAAGACTCCTGACTACTCCAGGATGGCTCTATTCGATATTCCCATTATCATCTACACCAACTTCAACGACTTTTGGTACAGCATATCCTGGTAGACTTAGTCAACAACAACAACAATCTTCTAGAGTTGGCGGAAATCCTGCTAGTGCAACAACGACAAGATCATCAACTAGCTGGGGAAGAGGTCGCAGATTAGATCAATAATAATCAATCAATCAATTAAATTTTTTTGTAATAATTTGTAATAATAACAATAATTAATAATAAATTTTTTTTTTCAAAAGAACAATTACATAATTTGTATATTTTATTTTTTTCAAATAAAAATGCTAAATTGGGCAATTCCATTGTTAAAATGAGAACACACATGTTAATCAATCTTATTTACTGTGCAATATTATCATAAAAAATAAATTAAAAATTTTTTTTTAAGCAAAATGGCAGAAACCACACAAGAATTTACGCTTTTAGAACTTGCAAAATATAATGAAAAAGAATTATATCTCTGTATCAAAGGAAAAGTTTATAATGTTACAGGATTTATTAAGGAGGTGATTATAAATTTATAAATAATTAATTGAAAATTATATTTATTTTATTAATATGATACGATTATTATCAATAATAGCATCCAGGAGGAGAAGAAATTTTACGTGAAGTAGTAGGTACAGATGCAACCCAATCTTTTGAAGATGTCGGACATTCTGATGAGGCTCTAGAGCTTTTGAAAACTTTTGAAATTGGTGTGCTAAAGGAATGGTAAATAATTATTAACGATGGATTAATTATATTAATATTAATAGTTAATACAGGTTAATTTATTAATTCATTAAAATCAATTTAATAGATGAAAATCCGTTAATTAAATTTATTATTGTTATTATTACTGTTATTATTACTGTTTATTATTATTATTATTATTGAATTATTTTGTTACTATTATTATTTAAGATGAGTTACTAAATGAACTTATTACGTTTTAAGAAACGATAATCATTTTATATTTTTCTCATCCTTAATATCAATATTAAATAAAAGTTCGAATCACATAATTTGTAATGTCTAGCAATAATATTGAAATTACATTATTAAAAAATAAACTTGAATTGCTTGAAAGAAAGGTTAGAATAAATAAAGAATGTTATTAATTCTAATTTTCTCTCTCTCATACATATATATTTTCTTCTAAAGTTAAAAGAGTCAAAAGTTTTGAATAATGAATTATCAACATTAAGGAATAAATCTGTAATTACTTATTATCATTTATATATATTATTATGGATACTTTATTGATTTTAACATTTTTTACCTCCTCCTCTAATACATACTTTTAGACAATATATCATCAATTAACAACCAATTCAAATATATATTTTTTGGTAGAAGATCGGGGAAAATTAAAAGATAAAGAAAAAAGTAAAGAAGATCCAAATCAATAATTATTTTTCTCTTGATATCTTCTTTCTCTTAATCATTATCATTCTTCTTTATTACATATTATAGAAAAACATGATGAATTGGAAAACGAAATAAGAAAAATCAAGAATTTATTAAATAAATAGGTTGGGAAGGATTGAATTTTATTTTATTTGGCAAAATAAAAGCCCCAAGAAAAATCAAATTATTAATAAAATCATTTAATAAGAAAACTTTGTTATTGAATTAATTTTTTATTGAAATTTAAATTTAATTAATTTAATAAATATATTGACATACACAAAAAGTTTTTTCCATTTCAATTTTAATGATTGGAACTGTAGAGGCAGAAGAATTTGAGCTGCAAACCTTTTTACCCCTTTACCCTCACATTCCTCAAGTGGAAACTGGTGGAGATAGAAGTAAAAGTTGCAACTACAGGAAAACTCTTACCACACCTACCTCAGTTACACTAAATCAACATGTTCTTTTATTTTGATTGGGTAGAAATGTGGTTATCTTATACCCAAGTTAAGGAGAATTTAATGTAACTGAGGTGGATGTGGTAAGAGTATTCCAACTACAGTGTGACACAATGATAATTACCACTAAAACTCTGTTTATGGTCTTAACTAAAGTCATTGTGAAAGGTGCACCAGTATCACATTTGCTACCATTTTCACACTTTGTAAGCTCATCCCATTTAGGTTCAGCTATATGATTGGGATCTGGAATGGTTTCAGATACACAGGGAATTTGTCAATTCAGGTGAACATTACAATCTCGGTTGCTTTTAAAGTCATCTTTGCTGCACTTGGGGCATGGAGGTAGCATGATAAATATAAATACAAGGGTATATGTTCAATTGCTATGGTTGAGTATCTGACTTGGATATTTATATTACCTGTTGATGTGGTGGTTAAGTATATTACTTGGATATCTATAGTATGGATATTGTGAGATAGTAAATCATGGACCAATTAATTGTTCCAATTATTGTTGATCAATCAGATTGAATTTACTATGGCAGTTGTAAAGAATTTGTAAAGAACTGCTATAATCATGTGGTTATCCACAAAAATATCCGCAATTTTGCGCAGCATCATGAGAATATCCAATTTAATTGGTGGGTTGGTGTGTTTTATCCTTATTTAGAAATCGATTTGGCGATTGCGGATACTTTTTGTGGATAACTACATGATTATAATTGCTATGAACAAATACTTTAATTGTAGTAAAAATATAAGTTATCTTTTTATTTCTTAAAAGTAATATTCTATTTATAATAATAAAATACAGATAGATGATAATCTTATCTATCCAAATTATACATGAAGTCGAAATTAAAACCCCAAAGTCGAAATGTTTCGACTTGAGGCAACTACATATATAGTAAAAATCAGTTTCGACTTCATGTATAATCCAAATGTTTCTAAACTTAAATAGTAAAAATAAATAAATAAATTGTTTGACTTGGACTATTGTGAGATCAAAATCCACGTCTCACACAAATTTCTAGATTTAGTTAGAATAGTGTTTTATTTTGTTTGTATGGCAGTATCTGAATATCTTCTGAAAAGTTTAATTCCAACTGACTTTCCTTTTTATATGGTAGTAATAGCGCTTAAGCTATTAATCTGTTGTAGGGCAAGTCTTACTTCCCATCTGGTAATGTTTTCTTTGTTATCTGCCTGAGCCAGCACATCCCAAAGATATTTACCATACTAAATATCCGCCTTGGTTCTTTTTTGGCTTGTCCATTACTTATGTTTTAGGCCCAGTATCTGGACTGACTGCCATATAAAAAATTTGGTATGGAAAATGTACGGAAAAATGCATTTTAATTTTTCTGGTAAAATTCCGTACAAATTCAATACAGTTTTCCGCACCAAATTTTTTATAGGGCTGCACCTAGCTAGGGTTTACTTCTCTTAGGCATTGGCCTAAGCTAAATAAAAATAAAGAAAAAAAATTAAAAGAAATATACACACACAACTATACTTATCAAAGGCGTCTCCCCGGTATGTTAGTATTTAATTAATTATTTAGATAGGTTTGATGAGTGAATGGTTTATTCCACTGGTGAGAGTTTAAGTTAAAAGATATTTATGTTTGTATTTTATTATCAAGATATTACAGTCAACCCACTCTAAGCGCACTTCCCTTGGGAATGTGTATTGGCAAATGAACTCTATTTTATGACGAAAAATGGCAAATGGAAATGTAATTTCCTCAAAAATTTGATTTCAAAAAAAAAATCATTGTGCATTGATTTGTATGAAAAATGGCTCATTAATGTTCCTAACCGAAAATCTAAACTCGATAAATCGGACGCAGCAATCAATTGTTTAAAGTACTTTATAATATAAATAAATGTCCGACTTATCGTGTTTAGATGTGTATTCGAAAATCAATTTATTCAAGTATATTTGAATATATTAATATATAATTTATTTCGTAATTATTTCGGATACTTGTATTTATTTTGAATATAATCATTTGTTATAAATGATTATCGATTGATAACAAATAGTATTAACTTATTTATAACTTATCCTACTATATAACAAACATTTTTTCAAAGATAATAAAGATAAGGAATTTGCAGAAAATTTTTCCTAATACTTCAATTGTATAAATCATTTTTGAAATAAACAATCAAATTGATGATGTCTAAAAAGGAAACTTTATCAATTAAAGAACAAGAAAAAATTAATAATAGTTTGTTAGAATTTATACAAATATCTGAAATGATGAGCATTCAAAATAATTACAAGCACCCGAAATAATCACGAGTATCCGAATATCTGAAATAATTACAAGTATCCAAAATAATTACGTGTATCCGAAATAATTACGTGTATCCGAAATAATTACGTGTATCCGAAATAATTACGTGTATCCGAAATAATATTCGAAATTCGTGATTTTGGATTTACGAATGCTCAAATATGGAGTTATAATTACGGTTAGGAACCCTATGGCTCATTCGATAGATTAAAAGCAGAACTTTTTATTAATTATTACTATACTTTAATACAAAATGCTTTTACTATTGGTTTTAATTATAAACCAACGTCTTGATTTTTTGATCAAATTAAACTAATTAGAAATAAATCAAGGAGTTAGGTCTCTTTATATTTGGTAACCAGTTATCAAATAATGGAATTAAAGTCAAAATTTTCAAGGTCTGGGACAAAACCAGTAGATAAATTGTAGTAAATCACATGATTTCAACTGTGAACTCGTTTTCTCCAACAATTAACTCTTCTATGAACCAAATCGTCTATTTTGTTCAACTTATTAATATTGAAAGAGATATTTGAGAATGAAATGCTCGTAATATGATATGTTTGTCAGGTAGATGTATTCCTTTTATTCTAACAATGTAATTGCAAAAAAAAAGCAAAATCCAACCCTATTGTGCATTTAAAAGCTAATTACTCGAAAACTAAACATCAAGTTCAGTTATAAAATGATTTAAAATAACTTTGAAAAACAAAGCTTTGTTTAAATTTTATTTGAAACGAATTGGTTGTTTTCTAGTAAAGTTACAAAGATTTTCCAACAACAATAATTTTCCAGTTTTTTTTAAATACACTGTATATAATACCTTTGTTTAATTTTCAATTCTTTAATGAAACTTGGATGGAGTAGGAATCTGGTAGAAATATCGCAGTGATAAAGACGGAGATATCGAAAAAAATTGCTTCTTTTTTCAGAAGAAAATGGCTCATTAAATGATGGATATATAAAAATTCGCATTCATCTAATCATTATATTACATTTTCATAATTTGGCGTGATCAATAAAGTCAAAACAAACAAGCACAAGATGGCTGAGAAATATTCATGAAGCTTTAGCTGAATTGGTTAAAGAAGTTTACAAAGAACTTATTCAAATCATGTCTATAGTCCCAAGGTTTATTTGCTTCAAACTAAAAAAGATTATGTTTTTTTTCTTATTTTTTTTTATCCATCAATATACATACATTTCTGTACAGAGTTTGATGAAATTAGTGTATTGAATTTAACGCATACAAATAAACCATTTAGGATTATTTTTACAGCAAGTATTCTATAAACAAATCATTCTCTATTATTTTATTAATTTTATAATTACATATTTTACAAAAGATAAAAAATCTAAGAAATTATAATCTAAAAAAATAAATAATAATAAAAATATTATATAATCAATAATAATAGAAATAAAAGTTCTATTTAATAAGAAATATTCTATGTTTGTGCACATATACACATATTTTTACTACTTCTTTACTAATCTATACACCTCACATTCTTCTAATAAATGTACCTCTCTGTTATTATTTTTAAGATTCAAATCATCTTCATAAATAGCCCAATGATAATAATAACAATAAAGTTCATTATTAATGCTATTGCGTAGTTGTAAATCACCAAAATCTATGAGAACTTCATGAAATTCTATATTATCTTTAGCAATTTCATTAATTTGACTGTTATGGGTTATTGCATATTTGATATCTTCAACTCTGCTCAATATTGAATTACTAATTTGATTTTCATCAATCTTGAAAATAAAGCTTTCATTTGTTTCAATATAGTAAAATTCATTTGGTGACCTTTTTTTTAAGTTCCAACAAACTGGATTGTAACCACCAACCAGCTCCCCTGTATCCTTAATTTTCATTATAACTACAGTTTGTTCAATATCATAACATTTATCTTGAAAAACTGATTTAGTAAATCCATCTTGACTCCCACAAAAAATCAATTCAAATTCATAAGGGATATTGTTTTTATTATATATGTCAATTTTTTTATCTATCCAACTGGAAATCAATGATTTCAATTTTAAATGTATTAGATTTTTTTTCTTTGTTCTTGGTTTTTTTTCAATTACTAAAAAACTTGATTGCCATTTATCATCACCATCATTATAATGCTGAATAATTTCTTTAAATACATCTTCATGAAAAACGTTTTCATAAGGTTTGATTTTATCATAAAAATCATTTATTGATATATGATTAAACCTTATTAATGGGATAATATCTTTTAAAATATTTTTTATTTCAATCAAATTATCTTTTTTTAAAATACTCTTAGTTTCTTCCTCTTCTTCGATATTTTCTTTTTTAAATTGTCCAATTCCCCATTTAATAACATAATCCCAAATCTCAATCTCATCCAAATCCAAATCATTTCTTTTTAATATAGATATAAGTATTGATTTTTCAATTGTTGCAACTTCATCAGACTGCAAAAATAACTCTGGTTTTACATCAAATAATATATCACAATAATCTTGAAGTAAAGTGAATGATGATGATATTGTTGATGATGATTGATCATGATCAGATGAAATTTTATACAAATAAATTATATTTTGTTGAATCCATTCTTTTTCTTTTGTAATTAGATACTCTTGTAAATCATCTATTAATTCATTAAAGTTTAATTCATCACATGCTTCAAGTAATTCAAAAATTTCATTTGCCTCCAAATTATCTATATTAATTATTCCATTATAAATATACCTTTTTTTTTATAGAATAATATATACAATTTATATATATGTAATCAATTTTTAATATAATAAATAAATAAAATAAATAAATAAATAATAAATAAATAAATCAAATCAATCTTACATTAAAAGAATTTCAAATACTTTTGGAGAAATATTTTCTTTTACAAACAAAATAATACCATCCTCAGATCTTTTCATCCAATTATTAGATAAAGCTGCATTAAAATATGAAGATCTTGCTTTTAAAATATTGGAATGAGCTTTAAAAATTTTAACATCATCATAATCATCACCAACTCTAATTTCTACATCGTATGAATCTGATTTATACAACAGTGTTTCTAAATCGATTAAAAGTTTATTAATATGTTTTAATGGTAAAACATCTTTTTTGGAATTTATAAAACTATTAATTAATATTGTTATATTTTCTAGAGATGAAAAACTATTAGACATTTTTGAAAATATTTATGTACGGATTTGAAAGAAAAATTTTTTTGTCAATGTTACACACCGCACATTGTCTAAAAAAAAATTATCCAATTAATCAACTCAAACAATATTCACTGCGTGTAACATAGAAGAATGAATGAACCTCCAATAATTATTCAACACGTCATTAACAAAAAAGATTAAGTTAACCAATAATACTAATCCACATATCAGCTATATACAATTTTTCAAAAAAATATTTAAACGGTACGGTAAAAAAAAAATTTTTTTTCTACAACTTTCTAAAAATTTACATTATTATTATTTAATTTAACAAAAAAATTTTAATTTTAAAAAATTTTTCCTTGCGAATTTAACTATTTAATAAATTGGCTTATATACAATTTTTTATATATTTTTAAAAAAAGCCATTTTATATAAAAATCAAGATGAAGTATCGTATTCATGTTGTAATTGCCTTTCTTTTAGTTTCAGCCATTAACGTTTGTAAGGCGGCTGAAGAAGAAGCCTCAACTTCTTCTTCTTCACCTTCACCTTCACCCTCCAGTTCACCTGTAATAGAAGTAGAAAGACCCGAATTCAAGGTATATTTATTTATGTAAATAATCAAAAATATTATTATTATTTATATAAATAATAACAAATCATTGACTATCATCATCACCATAAAAATTTTTTATATAATTTAGCCAACAACAATTGAAGCACTATTTTTAGAACAATTTACAAATGATTGGTTGAAACGATGGTCACCAAGTGAAGCTATTAAAGAGACAAAAGGCGGCGGTGAAGTGTTTAGCTATGTTGGAAAATGGGATGTCGAAGAACCAACAGTTTTTCCTGGAATCAAGAATGATTTAGGATTAGTAGTAAAATCTGCAGCTGCACATCATGCCATATCTGCTCTTTTAGATCAACCTTTAGATAACACTGGCAAAGATTTAGTCGTTCAGTAAGTAAAAAATTATAATATTATGTGATCTGTGTATTCTTACCATATCAATCGGATCAAATTTAAAAAAAATAATTAAATTGATCGTTTTTGATTAATTGATTAATTCAAAATCAAAATCAAATCGTTTATTATATAGATACGAGGTTAAACTTCAGAATGGACTTGAATGTGGCGGAGCATATTTGAAATTGTTGACGTTATCCGAAAAGGGAATTCAAGCTGAAGAATTTTCGGATAAAACACCATATACAATTATGTTTGGACCTGACAGATGTGGAGGTACAAACAAAGTTCATTTCATATTTAGACATAAAAATCCTTTAACCGGAGAATACCAAGAAAAACATATGACTAGTGCTCCTAGTGCTAAAATAACTAAACTCAGTACTTTGTATACTCTTATCGTAAAGTACGTATTACATGAAGTGTCAAATAATTGATATTATTATTATTCGAGTATTTTATATTTACAATATATATATATATATATTGTATCTGTAGACCTGATAATGATTTTGAAATTCGTGTTAATAATGAGACTACAAAAACTGGAAATCTCTTAAAAGATTTTGAACCTGCAGTTAACCCACCACAGGAAATTGACGATTCAAATGGTAAATTATTATTTCGAAAAATTTTTTATTTACTTTTTAATTTAAACATTTTAAATTATTATTTTTTTTTAGATAAAAAACCTGATGACTGGATTGATGATCCAAAAATCGATGATCCAGGTTAGAATTGGAATTAATGAATAGAAATAAAATGTTTTCCTTAATTGTATCTTTTTGTTTAATTATTATATTAACACATGTAAAAATAATAAATATATATGTATTGATTTTTTTAAATAGACGCAAAGAAACCCGATGATTGGTATTTTTTTAAACTATTAATAATATACATTCAATGTTAAATTTTAATTATATATCTAATAACGACAATGAATATTTATATATATATAGGGATGAGGATGCACCGTATGAAATAGATGATGAGGATGCAGTAAAACCAGAAGGATGGCTTGACAATGAACCATTGACAATTCCTGATCCAGAAGCCAAAAAGCCCGATGATTGGGATGATGATGAAGATGGTGATTGGGTAGCACCAACCATAACAAACCCCAAGTGTGAGGAAGCTCCAGGTTGTGGTGAATGGGTTAGACCAAAGAAAAAAAATCCCGATTATAAGGGTAAATGGTTCCCACCAAGAATTGACAATCCTGCTTATAAAGGTCCATGGGCGCCAAGAAAAATTCCAAATCCTGATTATTTTGAAGATTTAACTCCTTCTAACTTTGAAAAAATCGTAAGTTTCAATGAACCCTCAAGGACGAGTTTATTATTTATTAAATATTAAATATTAATTTGGTTCTTTTAGGCTGCTGTTGGTTTTGAATTATGGACCATGCAAAACAATATTTTATTTGATAATATTTATATTGGACATTCTATTGAAGATGCTGAAAAATTAGCCGAGGAGACATGGTCAATAAAATACGAAATCGAGAAGAAAGCAGAAGAAGCACAAGTACCACCAATCGTTGATACCGATGTAAGTATATTTTATAAGTGTTTTATCATATAAATTTAATCTATCAATTCATTAATTTATTGATGTGTGTATACGTAGAAACCAACTTCATTCACCGAGGATCCTTTCAAATACTTACAAATACACGTAAACGAATTTATTAATATATTATTCGAAGATCCTATCGAAGCAGTCAAAACTAAACCTGAAGTTGCAGGCGGTCTTGCAGCAGCAGTTCTTTTCCTTTTTTCACTAATTGGAATTTTAATGAGTTTATTGGCACCATCCAAAAAGGTAAATATTATTAGTTCTTTAAAGATTGAATAAATTTTTTAAAAAATATATAACTAATCATTATTATCATTAAAGAAATCTGGTCTTCATAAGAAGAATGATGAACCAACACCTGATGATGTGGACGGTGATGATAAAAAAGAATCATCTACTGCAAATACATCAAAAACTTCAAAGAATGAAGAAGAAGAAAGTAGCAGTAGTAGTAAAGATGGAGAGAAAAGTAAAGCTAGCAGGAGATCGGCAAAGAGACCTCCACAAGACAATTAAGTGGCTAATTAATTAATTAATATAATCAAAAAATAATTCTTTAATTAAGTTTACAATTAAAATAATTAAAATCATATACATTGAATATATCATCATCATTTATTATTATATTACCATTATATTACCATTATTACTACTAATTAATACATTTGAATATATATACAAAAATTTACACTTACATACATACATCCATCCATTCATACATAGATATTATTATGTATGAATAGATGTTTTTAAAATAGTTATTCTTTTTTAATATAACAATTTTCACACACACACACACACACACACACACATATATATATGTTAATGGACATTTTGGTAGGATTAAAAATTTTTAACTAATAAAAATTTAACTAAAAAAAAAAAACACTGATTAATTGATGTCATTTATCCATTTGTTGATTATATATGTTTGATTATATATTTTGTTTTATATCCCAAATATAAAATATTAACAAAGCCCTTTTGCGACTTGGTGGTTTAATATAAAAAGAATTTATTTTTTTCTATAGATTACTCAAAACAATTATCTCTATTATAATAACAATGATTTTAATAATTTTAATTTCAAAATAACCAAAAGGTTCTCTTCAAAAGAAACTTTTAATAAATTAACTAGAGGACTCTTCGCGAACTTCTTCTACATCCAAGATATCTGGAAAGTATTGATCTAAGATGAGTTCCCACAAATTGACATTACACCATTTCTCTATATGAAAATCCAGACTCATATCCCTTAATGATAGTAGCATGCATCGCAAAATTCACCTAATCTATTTCGTGAACATTATCTGTCTAGATTGCATCATCATTATTTTTCAAAGATCATATATTTTTGTTTTTTTTGCAAATGGTCAATCAAATCTTTCAGAATTTCGGAAGTTCTGTTCTTTTACAATTACGAATTCTTTGTAAATCTTTTACCATTTGCATAGAAATAATTATCTGAATCTAGAATAAAATTATGACGCCATATGTTCTGAGGCATATATTCATATAGCAAATTCTCTATAAACTTTTCAGTAGATAGGTACGTACGCCTTTCATTTTTTTTAAAAGCATTTATACAAGCATTTAACATTGGGCTTGATCTTTTATACATTCTAACCACAGTAATTTCACAGGAAGAGATAGCACTATTGCCACGCTTAATGTTATCACTGGTATCACTATCAAAGATTTTCATCGTTTTTATTACCAAATTTTTGTTGTCTTTTAGGAAAAAGTTTTTTCTGATCCTAGAGTTAAGTATTTTATTATTATCTTGAGATAGCAATGCATGAAAGTATGAGCCTCCTGACTTATAAATGTTTGATACTTCTACTTTGTTGTCTGTCCTATTCGTCATTATTATTAATTGAACGATCACTCTAAACAGAGGAGATACTACTTCTTGGTGTCTAGAAAAAAAAAAGTCAAAATCTTAAACTTATTATATGCAAATCATAATGTAACCATCCAATTATTAGTTAGTTACATAGGTAGTTAAAGTAGTAATAATCATCCAATTTATCATCCAAAGGAATCTGCTGCCTCGATTATCTTTTTATAGGATTATAATAAATATCGCTTCATAGGACCTATAAATAGATGGATAAATAAATAGTTTATTATATTAATCAACCAATTGTTATTATTAATATAATTATAATTGCAAAGCTGTGCTTCTACCACAAGTATTGGAATAAAGTTTTGCAAAAGATATTATGAATATTTTGGCCTGAGGTATATTGACTAATGCAGGAATAAATTTCAAAGAAGAGTAAAAGTTAAGGATACCGGCTGCAACTTTTGATGATGGTTGTTACCGCCTTTACGACCATTTTGTCTCCTTTTTTGGGTTGCGACATGGAACGCTAGTAAAAATAAGAAAGAAATTAATTTGTTTATTAGGAAAATAAATGTAATTCCAACCTAATCACTGTATTAACTTCTTCAATTGTATGTTTAAGTTTAAAGTGGGCATCATTGGGAAGCAGTCTCGATTCCAATATTAATCTATTGACTTTATTAACTACTAATGTGAGTGACAATTTTTTTTGTATAATATGCTTTATTATATACTCTGTGTTAACCATGGCCTATATAATATATATGGGAGATATTAATTATAAATAATGCACTAATATTTCTATAAATCATCAACTAAACTAACAACCAATTAGCCCCTTTGATAGCATCATCAGCTAATCTAAGTTCAGCTGTAGCCTCATCTACAAAATCAGCATGTCCTATAAAATTCAAAATAATATTCAAATTTTCGATATTATAGTCATAATATCTATCTATCTTTACCTGGAATATTGAATGGATAAGATTTTTCTTTGGTATTTTGCAAAACGAGAGTTATTGGCATGCCTTTTATATTAACACCATGATCTCTTTCTAATATGTGTATCAGTAACATTCCTATATAAATTATTATTATTGTACTTTTTATCTAAAGTAAAAATAATGTTAATAAAAATAATGCTACTTAACCTGTTTATCAACATCCCAAGCTCCAGGATTATGTGTTTCATATATCAACATATCAACAAATGATGTTTTTCCATGATGTACATGACCCACAATAGCAATATTTCTCACTAATTCATCACATCCACCAAAAATCTTATTATTATTATTAAATGTTAATTTAAAATATGAACAAATTCTTATCATGTAATAATACTACTCTTTTTTGAATTTAATTTCAGGTAAACCATTTATTTTCTTGAATTTTTATTTTTATAGGTTGAACTATTGGTTCAGATAGGGGCCCCCTATCTGAACCAATAGTTCAACCTAGTGTTCCATGTCGCAATCCAAAAAGGAAACCAAAGTGGTTGCAAAGGTGGTTGCAATCAGGTGTCGCAACCATCACCAAGAATTGCAACCAGCATCTATAATAGGGGCTGAGTGTCTTCTTCTTGAATCAAAGTTTCAGCTTCAAGACTATAAACTTCTTTAGCACTTGGATGACATTTCTTGTCTTCATGAAGTACAACCTGATTTAAAGGAATATCTGAAACAATTTAATCCCCAGCTAACATCAGTTGGATAGATATAAATAGTAGAGATTTTTGAAAGATATATACATGCACACATACAGTACCTGGAAGAAAGTATCCGAACGCAGTTTTTCGAAAATTCCGCAAAATATTACATAATAAAAAAATAAAT